TTTCTTCTCTCACTTCGTCAATAGACATATTGTTTATTATTATTATTATTATTTCGATTCATTGTTTTTTTTCAGTCAATTCTTTTTTGAAATCTTGTTGAAAAACTTTCAAACTTGAAAAAAACTTCAATAAAGAATGTTTTTGTTGTTGTTTGGAGATTCGAATGTTTCTGGATTGTCAAGGAAGAATTCGAATGTTTATTATTATTTCATTGAAGAAATGTTCACATATGACGTTCAGTTTTGAAAGATTCCCGAAAAATAAAAACAAAACAAAAATCTTAACTTTTTTTAATCAAAAAAAAGAAAAAAATCCTAATTTCATTATTTCACACATTAATTAGAATCGGCGTCAACAAGAAAAAAAAATGAAAAAAATCAAGCCGAGCGAAATTAATTTCAAAGAAAAAAAACATCCAACAAGCCAACGGAAAAAAACACAGGAAAAACAAAACTCAATTCAACAACCAAACAACCAAACAACGAATCCTACCAAACAACCCAAACAACCAAGTCCACAAAAAGAAAATTTGTCGATTTTCTTCTTCTTGTTATTATCATTATTATTGTTGTTGATGATAATGGAAGCAGTCAAGTGTTTGTTTCAAACATCAACAAAAAAAAATTCTGTTTTGTTTTGTTTCGTTTCGTTTTGAAACAAACTCCAATTCTCGAATGATAATGATGAAATTAAATTAAATGTCTTTGTTTCACTGTGTGTATGTTTTTGTTACAAACAAAAAAAAATTTTCATCAAAGTTTTTTTCGGGAATTCATTTCTTCTTTTGCTGTGTGTGTGTGATTCGGGAAAGTGCAAAACACAAAAAAAAAGTCACACTCGTCGGTGATGATGATGATGATGTAGATCCAATTCAATTATCAACCACCATATATATACCCAGCCAGCCATTTGTTTTGAAATGAAGAATTTTGTTCATCCAAAAAATGAAATGATGAAATTAGTGACGACAAAACAATTCCGGTTTAGTGAATCCAAAAAAAAAAAACATTTTCTTTCTGTGTTTGATTTCTATAATTCTGCTGCTTCATCATCTTTGCTTCGTTCGTCAGGATGTTAATCATAATAATTATCATAACAATGATGGTGATCATTTGTCATTATCATCATCATCATCATCAAGAGAAGAAAGAGAAAAAAAATTATATTCCACTTCGATGATTCGATCGATTTTTTTTGAAACTTTTGGACATACCTCGGTGAAAATGAATCTTTGAAAAAACAAAACAAAACAAAAAATCTTTTGATTAAACTTTCAGTAAGTCTAATTGGTTCTTCCTTTTTTGAATTCTAGAATTTTTTTTTCTGTTTTGTTTTGTTTGCATTCAATGAATGAATAAATTGATTTGATTGAATTTTTGTTTTGAATTTGGTTCAGAATCAAATCAAATTTGGTTTTTTTTGTTGTTGTTGGCAAATTCAAGATTTTCAAGCCATTCTCTACATTTATAAGAATCTAGGCCAGAAAAAAAGAATGGCAAAAATAAAATAGGAAAAATATATTCACATTCAAATTGAATCATCGGTTTTGATTATTATCATCATCATTATTGGTATTGTCATGATAGGCAGAAAAGAAAAAGAAAAAGAAAATTGGCTTCATTGAATACATATATTTTATTCTTTCTTACTCACTTACTTCATATATATGAAGATATTCTTGTTATCAATTCCTACTGACGATGTTGATGTTGATGATGATGATGATGATCTAATCAAAACGAAACAATTCAATTCGATTCCAGATTCAAATGCAAAAACCCTAAAAAAACGAAACGAAACGAAAGAATTTCTTATTCAATTTTTTTTTTGGTTTGGTTTTGGTTTGAAAATGAAATTTACATTTTCTTACATTCAATTTCAATGATGATGATCATGATTCAAATTAGATTCAATTTGAAATTTGTTTCGCATCTTATTATCTTTGTGTGTGTGTGCGAGTTTGGTGTATGATTTTTTTTCATTTCTTTTTTGTATTTCATTCAAGAATCAGTTCTTTGGACGAAATTTTGTCGTCGTTGTTGTTGTTGTTTATGGTTTCTGGATTGAATCAAAAATAAATTTCGATGATAATGATTGAAAACAGAAGAAGAAAAAAAATATCAATGATGATGATGATCATCCATGATGACAATAAAAGAATTTTCGTTCCACTGTTTTATTATTGGGCACTATGTGCTGTGCACACACACATTATTATTGAATTGAATAAAATATCTGTTTTGGTGATTTGTAACAGAATCTTGATGTTTGTTGCAAAAATTTTCGTTTATGTTCTTCGTTTTATGGAACACAGATTTTCATCAATATTGAAGAAAACATTTGAGAAAACTGAGAGAGAGAGAGAAATAGCTTGAATTGAGCTTGGCGCTTTCACATAGATCATTGATGTTTTTTATGATCACCAGCCAACCAACCAACCATCATTATCATCATAATATTATTACCATTCGACAAATTATGGGGCGATGATTCTACATTGCGACTATTCGAATTTCGAATCCATCAACAATAAACAAAACAAAACAAAAACCATAACAAACAAACGAAATAATGGTAACTTGGTTGGTTGGTTGGTTGGCTATAGAAATACATTTTCTTCTTCTTTGTTGAATTTTCTTTTTTTCTATAAAATTTTGTTTTTAAAAGAAAAAAAATTTTATGATCAAAAAATAGGAAATGTTTTCAATGAAAAACTACCATACCAAATTCTTCTTTCTTCTGTCAGGGACCAATGATGATGATGATTAGCCATCATCATTATTAACCATCATCATTCGAAATGATTCGCGGATATTCGGTTCCGGTTTGTCTCTTATGGCTGGTTGGTTGGTTGGTTGGTTGGTTATCTGACATTTTTCTTCTTCAGTTTGTTGTTGGTTAGAATTTCCTGTTTTAATATTTCATTTTTTTTTTGTATATCGGTCGTTCGTTTTGGTGAAATTTAGATTTTTTTCTTCTTCAAATCAATTCGGAAACCAAAAATCTATTCAACAAAATTGAAATGAAAATTTGAAAATTTGAAATTTCGGACGACGAAAAAAAGACATAAATTTCATTTGAAAAGGATCCAACCGAACAAACCTTTTTTCGACCTTTCACCAACTTTTCTTCTTCTTCTTTTGCTTGTTCAACACCACCAATATTGATTTGTATTTCAACAACATTTCAGATTCTTCGAACATTCACCAAATAAATATATCGATCATCGAATCGATCACAATCGATCCATCGTTTATATATTGAGCCAGAAAATTTCCTATGAACAAAACAGTGAGAAATATAAAAAAAATCAATTGTAAAGTCAGAAATCTCAATTAATTACCCGAAAAAACAAAAACAAAATCTTAATGATTCAGGAACAAAAACATTGCAAAAAAACGGGAAAAAAACATTCGAACGTTTTGAACGGTAACGATTCGATTTTCTATTTCGACCGAACAATCAATGATGACCGGAATCAGTAGAAGTAGCCAGTTGAAAATCGTTCGAAAATATATTTTTTTTTTTTGCACTCGCAGATGACTCAATCAATCATTTTGGATTTGGCAATTGATTGAACAACAACAACAACAAAAACAACTAAGATTTTTCAAAATCCGATCGAACCGGATGATAAATCCGGACTAAACCAAAAGTTCGGCCAGAAAAAATGAATGATGTAAACTTACAAGTCTTTTATTATTTTTGTTTTTTCCGGCGATGGACATCATGAAAGAAAAAAAGTTTTCATTCGAGAAAAACAATGCTCCAAAAATAAAGAGAGAGAGGTAATTCTTTTCTAATTTACAAGTCAAAAGAAAAAAGATTGATGAAAGTTTTTCTCCCATTTTTTTTTTTGCAGAGAAAATTTGAATTTTGATTTGGAAATTTTCAATCCCAAAAATCAAAAACGGAAAAAAATCAATGAAAAAACTTCGAACGAAAAGATTCCTCTTCACCAAACTGTTGCCATCTAGCGGCAAATTTGTCCGTAAATATGGAATATCGTTCGAATTTGCGTATCTTGGATCGGTCGGTCGGAAAATTTTCAATTGCGAAAAAAGAAAAATGCAAATTAAAAAATGAAAAAGTTTTACAAGACAAGACAATTAATTTGATTGGCAGGTTTCATGTGTATTGACGAAACGAAAAACAACAACAGCAAAAAAAGTTTTTTCCGTGAGCCATTTTGATTATTGTTATTATTATTGTTATTACCGTCATCATCATCATCATAATCATGAAATTCAATTATTCAATGCCATTATTCCGTGTTTCCATCATCATCATCATCATTTTTGGACATCTAATTATAGAATCCAGAATCTGTCTAATTATTATTATGATAGTTTTCGAAACAACCGAAGAAGATAAATTCAAAATAATCAAAAAAAAAAAATCAATTCGAAAAGTTATGATGGCCCAACCAAACTCATAACCCAATCACACGAATGATGTGTCAGTTTGTTTTATTAGTGTGTGCCCATATGATTGATTGTTTCGTGATGATGGTAATAGTGTGTTGGTGATGGTGGTGGTGAATCTTTTTCGGTTATCAGAATAATTTTCCCGCAAAAAATTGAATTTTTTTTTGGTCGAAATTAATGTTTCGATAGATTGGAAGAAGGGGAAAAAAAGTTTCCGGGAATTCACCACCAAACACACACACTTTTGATTGAATCTTATTCAACCACCACCATCACTATATTTTGGTCGTGAAAATATTCGTTTTTATGCCTGAAGATCACACAAAAAAAATCGATACAAATTTGCAATTATAAACATTCAAATCGAATAAGAAGAAAAGAAAAGTATAAGGGCTGAATGTAATGTTTTCCGCCATTGATTTATAATGTTAATGGCGATAATAATGATGATGGTCGGTCATAAAATTCATATTCTACCTTCAACCAAGAAAAAGAAAGAAAAGAATTAAGTTATCAAAATTGAAAAGTTTTTTATTCAATTTTCAAAGGTTAGAATTTTTCACTTATGAAACAACAGAAAAAATTCATTTTTACTTCACTTTCATTTGTTTTGTATACGAAGATTTTCTAATGAACGACGAATACCATCTGCATAATTCAAATGTATTTTCTCGAAATGATTCAATGCACGTTCAACAATAAATTGGTAACAATATTGTAAATCTTCGGCTATATTCTGATGAAGACGATCTTGTTCGGATTGATCAAAACTTAAATATAATTGTCTAACTTGTGTATAATTATCTTCATCACTGGATTCAAAACGATCAATATCAGTTGTTGTTACATGTTGACGTAATTCATTCGAACCAATTGGATCATCACGATTATTATCAAATGAATTTGGCCAATAATTTGGTGCACCATTTTGATTATCATCGGTCATCATTCTACCATCACGTTCAGTTGGTGTTCGTATCGGTACACGTGGACGATTAACCGGAATTAGATTAGCATTGGCACCGATTCTATGAAAATGTTTCGAATATAAATCCAAACAAAAACAAGCAAATCAAATCAAATATACAAACCTATAACGATGTGCATCACCATAGGCAAATACACGTGCCTGTAACATTTTATCGGGTGAAAATTCAATACCTTGTATACGATTCGATACACTAAATGCTAATTGTTCAATTTGTGCAAAATAATTTTGAGGATTTTCATTCAAAATCATTCGACCAACTTCCATTAATGGATAATCCTTTTCAGGCCAAATTTTTGTCAAATCAAATGGATTAAATTCAAAACGTTTTGCTTGTTCATAGGTCATAATTTGTACGAAAAGTGTCCAACTTGGATATTGTTTTCGATCAATCGAATCATACAGATCATGAACACCATAATCTGGATCATTTGAAGCCAATTGATTTGCTTGATCTACGGTCAAATTTTGGACACCTTGATTGGTACGCCAATAGAATTTATTATAAACTGGTTCATTTTGGTTATTTACCAATTTATAGGTATGTGAACCCCAACCATCCATATGACGAAAACCATTCGGTATACCTTTATCACTATACATCCATGTTACCTGATGTAATGATTCCGGACGTAATGTAAAAAAATCCCATCGGGCATTATAATCTAAAAGATTTGTTTGTGGATTACGTTTTTGTGAATGTATGAAACGCATAAAAAAATATGGATCACGAATAAAAAATATTGGTGTATTATTGCCAACAAGATCCCAATTTCCTTGATCAGTATAGAATCTTATTGCAAATCCACGAACATCACGTACAGTATCGGCTGAACCACGTTCACGTGCTACAGTTGAAAATCTGGCTGCAACACGTGTACGTTTTCCTAATTTACTGAACAAATCAGCACGACAATATTTACTGATTTCAGTATTGGTAACTTCAAAATAACCAAATGCACCAGCACCTTTAGCATGAACAACACGTTCTGGTATACGTTCACGATTAAAATGTGTCATTTCTTCCATCCATTGAATATCATCCAATAACATTGGACCACGTGGACCAACCGTTATAACATTACGAAAATCACCAACACGACGTCCAGCCGATGTTGTTATATATTGTGGCTATATTTGATGAAATCAAATGCTTATTTCAATAATAATGATAACGATAATAACGATGATTATGAAAAAATATTACCTTTTGGCCTTGATGTTCCTGTGCATATTGTCCTAATTGATTAGCACCAGGATCATCATTTGGATAATAACTAACATTATTTGGTTCCATCATTAACAACAACAGCAAATGAATGAATTTTCAAACAAATCGATGATTATTTTGAATATTGCGAATTTAAAAAATGAACAATGATCAAAATTTATATATAGCTTCAATCCATCATCATCATCATCATCAACCGAGGTTGTAAAATTCTAATCCAAAATAATAATAATAATGATAATTTTTTTTATAATCCTATTTCCTTAGCCATGTTTGACCAGACAATGTTTTGAATGTAAACAACAACAACAACGATAATCGAAGAAAGAAAACAAAAAACATATATCCGTGAACCCAAAACAATGTGAGATAAACACATTACTTGGCTACACCCAACTGATCAATCAATAAAATTGAAAAAAAAATTTGGTGTAAGAGTTTCGCCCTTTAATTCAATATAACAACAAACGACAAACAACAGGCAAACAAATTGATTTTTGTCCATTTAATTTAATGATCATGGTTATGTCAACACCTGAATAATAATAATGGAAATTAACAACAACAACAAGAAAAAAAAACAAACGATGGTGATAATGATCAGAAATCATCCTCATCATTGGAAAAATTTTTACGATCATTCAAGTTTTAAATTACACTGTATCCAATATCATCATCATCATCATTTTATTGAATGCTTCAAAACAATTCAAAACAATTGGATTTTTTTCAAATAATAATGATGTATAATTAGCTAAAATCGATTAATATGTAAAAATGGGAAAAAGAAGAAGAAAAAACAACTGACAACAACAACAACAAAATTCGTTACTTCTTTGCTTTTTGGAAAAAAAACACGTTATGTTATTGTCTTCGGGGGCTAAAAAAATCGATCCAAAATAAGCAATTATCATTATCAATGGGGTGAGTCTCTTCAGCAAAGAATTTCATCCAATGAAAAACAAAAGACTGTAATGAAAACGAAAAAAATGATTCTTGAAGCAATTCAACCGTAAAGCAAATGATGATAATGGAATCAATTCGTTCATCATATGAATAGAGAACAACAACAACAACGAAACAAACAATGTGCAAGTAAACAATATTATTCGCTATCCGATTAAAAATACAGAATGAAAAAAAACACTTTTGAATGAAAATGATGATGAAAAAATTAATAGGAAAAAAAATTGTTTGATCCAATAATGATCATCATCATCATCATCATCAACTTGAATCAGTTCATTCCATTGATTTCTTTTAAACAATGAAAAATTCTATTTTGAGAGAGATAATAATTAGATCAGAAAGAAGGAACAACAAAAAAAAGCATCTTTTATTTTTTGCCTTCAAGAATATATTCACAGAATTCATTTTTTTTCATTCGGTAGAATGAATTCATTGAACCTCACTCAACACAACCATTCATTCAATTTTTGTTGAATCTAAAATTGAATTTACATTCAACAACAGAGACAAAAAAAATTGATTCGATTTGATTTGATGAGAAATTCCATATCGATTTCATTTCGTTTCGTTTTCATCATTATGATTGTTTCGTTGAATGTTTTGGTGAAATCGATCTGAAGAAAATGTTTTACAAATGACAAATTTTTTGTCGAAAAAAAAATGAACCGAGGGGAAAACAAAATAATAATCATTGAAAATGGTAATGAAATGAAATTGTATTTCGAAAATTTTTTTTTCTTTTATTGAATTTTCTTTTTTCTTTTTTTTTTTTAATTTTTTATCCAGAGAAAAATGGAAAAATGAAAAGAAGAAGATAATTTCATTGCAACAATCAACCCGAAAAGAGAGAGAGTAAAGAATCGAATGTTAACGAATCTGGAAAAAAATTTTCAACAAAATTTTTTTTTTTATTATTCATTCAATATGATTTCCATTACGCTTCGGCGGCTATCTTGTTGAAGAAACGAAAAAAAACATTGATTTTTCTTGTTATGGTGATGTTATTATTGTTGGCGGATGATGATAAAACCAATTCAAAAAGAAAGAAAAGAAAAAAATTTGAATGACACAATCAATCATTAGACCATAAAATTGATGGTGGGGGTGGTGGTGGTGGTGGATATTTTGACGATCATCAAAATTTAATGTGATCCAGAAATTGCGATTCGAGAAATTCAAAAGAAAAAAATATGCAAATTAAACAAATTCATAATGACAACGATGGTGATTAAAAGTGGGGGAGATGTACAACATTTCCCATTCAAATGACATGTATCATAAAAATCATATTATCATCCTAATGGCCGATGTCATTTTTCTGCTGTTAATTTTGTTTAAAAATGGGCCCGAAAATCTGGTTTTATTTTATTGCTGATTTCGAAACATTTGGCGAAAAAAAAATTTCAAATTCTGTATCCAAAAGGAAAAATGGATGCGCACATCATCCATCCATTCATTCACGACCGATTCGATCCGATCATCAAACTCTTTTTTGGACAAGAAGAAGAAAATCTTATTTAATAAAATTATGATATGCAAAAATATATATTTTTGAAAATCAACCAACCAACCAAGTATGAATATGGATGGTAAGTAAGTAAGTGAAAAAAATTTTCTTATGAAAATCGTTTTTTATTCTTAGAATAATTCCCGCAAATGTTACCCGATGATGAAAATGGATACAAATGGTTACAAAATAGATGTTTTTTGCCCCAGATATATATTCATCCAGATTTGTTTCAAGCTTAAAAAAAATCCTTTTTTTCCCATCATCATCATCATTTGTTTTTTTGGGTTGGTGGGTTGTTGATAATAATAAAAAACATCATCGTTTGACGAACGATAATGGCGATTACGACAAAGAACAACAACAACAACGATGACAACGACGATAATCATGATGATCATCATTCATCATCAAATAAAAAAAAAAAACATAGACCAAAATTTACAATGATGAACATCATCATCATCTGAGAATCGATTTGCAAAATGGATTTTGAATTTTTTATTCTGTTGTTTATATGATTATTAATGGCCTGGGATGGATTGAACAAAAACGAAAAAAATTCTGAAAAATTTTTTGTTTGAAATTAATGTCAGGATTAATAATGTTTTTGATCTGTTTTTTTTTGTTGAATCAATTTTTTGTTGTTGCTTCTGTTGGATTCTCGTCGTCGTCGTTGGATGATAATTTTTCCTTCGATAATTCATACCGTGTACATTTATATGAATGAAATTTACTTGGTTTTGGTTCTGTATGAATAAGTTTATCAACCAGAATTGGTGATGAAAATGGACAATTTGAATTGGAAATAATTGAATCACGATGATGATAATTATAATGATCTTTGAAAAAATCTGATGATGATGGCCAATAAAATGGCCAACGGCTATCCGATGGATAATGAAAATCTGGCCAAAATTTTTCCGAAATCGGTTGATCGTGATGATGATAACGGTAATCATTATGAATAGCAGATGATGATGATGGTCGGGGTTGTTGTTGTTGTTGTTCGTGTTCACGTTGTTCTTGATGATATTTTCGATGACCAGTTGTTGCTGGCATTGAAATTCGTCGTCTTTGTTGATAACGATGATGATGATTCGGTGGTAATGGTGGCTTTTTTGAATTCGAATCATTGTTAGCTGCTGTTGAAATAGCTGCCGCAACATCATTTTGTTCGATTTGTTTTGAATCATGATCAATTTCATCCGATGATTCCGATGATTTTTGTAATTTAATTTCAATTATCCTTGGTGTTGTTGATTTTTTTCTTGAATCGGATTCTTGATTTTTTATTTTCGTTGTTATTTTTGATTGATGTTTTGATGATGGATAATAACCCGGTACATCGACAGGTCGTTCATTAACCATTATGGTTGGAATAGTTGTTTTTGTTGTTGTTGTTAATCCTTGACGATTCTTGATGGCCGATGTTGGTGATGGTGATAAATTTTCTTCCGAAAATATAACTTTGGTATGTCCAAATTTTTGATTATCAATTTCATCAAATGAATCATTATTCATATTTGTTGTTGTTTTTGTTGATTTTTGATGTTTTATTTTTGTAGATTTTTTTTCATCAGTGGTGCTGGTGCTGGTGGTGGTGGTGGTTGGTTGACGAATAATTTCAAATGAACGATAAATATTCTTTTCGGATAATGGACGAAATCCATAACTATATGGATTATATTCATCATCATCATCATCATTCAAACGATTTGTAGTTGTTTGTTTTGAATGTTTATTATCACTGATGAAACTATCATCATCAATTTCATCAACAACAACAACATTATCATCAATTGAATTATTATTCAAATCATTATTTAATGTTTTATTTTCATTCAAAACATCAACATTACCATCATCATCATATTTATTAATGATTTTTTCAGTTTTGGTCGATGTTGGTGATGAAATCTTTTTCATCGTATATTCATACGATACAAATTCAGTATATTTTCGTGGCATTATTCTCAGTTCTTCAACAACAACAACCAAAATAATGTTGAAAAAAAATGTTAACCGAACAAGTCAAGAATCAAACTAGACTAGATATTCATATCTGTTCAACTGCCGAGTTTTTTCGCCATCATTATTCATTCAATTCAATTCATTCGATGTTGATGATGACAAGGCATTTACGACGATAACTACTACGATGATGATGATGATGAACACATCAATTGAATTGAATGACGATTTTTCAATCGTCATGGTATTGCCATAATGATCATCTATAAATTAATGAAGATTTTTTTTTTTTGTTGCTTGTTTACACCAGCGACAAAAAAAAAGTCACAAAATTTGTCCTTGAAAAAAAATTCGAACGAATTTTTTTTCCATTTATTTACTTTGGTGAACATTCCTGAATGATGATCGAATGATTTTCTGTTTAATTCATTTACAAGCCTAAAGCTATCAATCGATCGAATCGAATCGAATCAATCATTTAATTGAATTTGACACATTTGTAATGAGTACTGTCATTGTTGTTGTTGTTGTGAAACAAAACGAATGAAAACAAACGAACAATGATGAAGATTGACAATTGAAGCATTCTGCAAAGAAAGAGAATTTATTCAGTTTGTTCTTTTGTTTTTGTTTTTTGGTGAAATTTAAATTCAAAAACAAAACAAAACAAATTGAATTATGGACATGTTCAACATGATTCTATGGTTAATGTCCAAATGTCATTTTCCCCAAGAAATAATGATGATGCAAGAAAAATTCCGATCGATACACGCATCAAATCTTCATAAAACAGAATGATTGAATTGAAAAAAACATTGTTGTTTTGAAATGATGATACCACCACCACCACCACCCAAAAGACAAACATGTGATACACATTGATAGATTTTTTCTGTTGTTGATGATAAACAAAAAAAGTAATAGATTCAAAAATACCGATTAAAAACAATCGATCTATCGATAGATCGATCGATCGGTTAGTTTATTCCGTCGGTAAATCGACCAACCGAAGAAGATAAATGATTCTTCTGTTTAAAAAAAAGAAACGAAAACAATTCCGAAAAAAAAACATTATCGAAAAGCTTGTTTCGTTTCGTTTTTCGGGTTCGGGCATTAACAACAGTATTTTTCTTCATAATAAAGAAGACATACTTGGAAGAAAAAAAATTGACTTTCCTGGATTCACTCACACACATACACACACACTGGAACGTTTTCTCAACGTTTTTCTCGCCCCAAAAAATCATCTCTATCAGAATAAAGATAGTGTGTGTGTGTGTGTTAAGTAGTCTTTTCTTTTCTTGATTCCATTGCCTAATATTATCATTTATCGTTTATCGTTATGAGGATCGACAGGCAACCAATGAAGAAAAAAAAAGACAAAGCAATTAAAATTCGATCGTCTTTTGGATACAACGGTGGAACAAGAAGAGAGAGAGAGAATACAATGTTGAAAATCGACGAATAAATTAAAACGATGATCAAAAAAACCGAAATGAAAATGAAAATAATGATTTTCAAACGCAGGATGTTATCGCAAACGAGTGAGTGAGTGAGAGAGAGAGATGTTTGTATATTAATCTCGAAATGAATCATCAAAAAAAAAAAACAGAATTCCCTAAATAAGATGAGTCATTTCGAATGAATTTAATTTCCTTTTCCTGTTCGATGTGTGTGTGTGTTTTGATTGTGTTTGTGTGTGTGTATGTGTACCTTGGATTATATGACTATCGATGATCGATCATTTTATGGCCCGAACAAAAAAAAAAATTCATTATCAATAATGATCAATAATGAATAAATTAATTAATTTTCAAACAAAAAATTTGACATCTTCATATATAAAACAAATCTCCATCCAAAAACAATAAACTTTTTGATCAAATTTGAATATGTGTGAAAAATACCCAAATGAATTGATTGTTTTGGTTATTCAAAATGTCTTCTTTTTTTTGTTTGTTTGGTTCACTTTTTGATTGATTGATTGATTGATTGAATAATTAATTAATTGATTAGAATAATGGATTTTTCTTTTTCTTTTCTTTTTTCTCTTAGAATTCTCTATGGAGATGTTTTTTTTTTTTTGGTTGTGACAGAATTTCAGTGAACAAAGGTCAAATATCCAAATGTCAATTTGAAGAGAATCGAAACAGAAAAAAACTCAATTCAAAAAATGTCTAATCGAATGTGAAAAGAAAAGAAGAAAAAAATTCAAATTATAAGAAACAAAACATCGATCAACTGACAAGATTTGTCCATTCAAACAAAAAAACTTATCACAGAAAAGACAACAACAACAACAAAGTAACAATCAACCCAGATGACGAAAATTTAATTAAAATTTGATTTTTTTTGGCGCAAAAAAACATTGGCCAACAACAATGATGATGATGAAGTTCATGAACAAAACAAACAAACAGAATATTTCTTTTCTTCTCTTGTCAAAGTAATTTGAAATTGAAAACCTTTTGAATCTTTTCGTTTTTGTTGTTGTTGTTGTTGTGAATGGGAATAAGATTGATATTGGATATGTGTCATCCATCAAAACATATTTGTTGTTGCTTTGATTCTTTGATTAGTTTTAAGTTTTTCAAGTTTTTTTTGTTTTGTTGTTGTTTTCATCCAATTTCAGTCCATTTTTCCTTGGAAATGAATTCTGATTTTGTTTGTTTTCGGAAACTTGAAACTTTCAGACAAAGCAAAACAAACAAACAAACAAAAAAAGTTTGTTTCAACCGAAAAAAATAATCTTGATGATAATGATGATGATGATGATAATAGAATCAAAAAAACAAAAACAAAACAAAAAAAGTTGGCAGAATCATCAATGGACTTTGAATTGATGATTTTTTATTTTCAAAATGTTTTCAGTTTTGATTCTTTGTTTTTTTTATCAATTTTTTTCCAGTTTTCGTTTTCACTCATTCCGTGTTGTTGTTGTTGTTGCTCTCCCCTTCCGAAATAACAATGTTCGAATGAATCGATTTTTTTCTGCTTGTGATAAAATCAAAAATGTTTTTAAAAAAAAAGATGAAAATCATAGTGAAAAATTGTTTTTCTTACTCACTTTGTAAATGGTTGTTGTTGTTGTTGTTTGTACCGAATATCATTTTCGATTCGAATTCGAATGAATCGATTTATTCGACATCACCAAATTCTCTCTCTCTCTCGACAAATGAATCATTTTTCGTCGAAAGAATTTTATAATGATAACACCGTTAAAAAGACAAAACAAAAATCGAATCCTGAACATTAAATTCTCATCGAACGGAATGATGATGATGATCGACTCAAATCGAAACGAAACAAATCGAATCAAATGAACCGAAACGCGCCGGCATTTGGAACAACAACAACAACAATCATTATCATTATCATCAACAACGGTTGTTTGTTTTGTTTTGTTTTGTTTTGTTGTTTTCAATTGAAAAAGGCACATCAAACAACAACAACAACAACGAAAAACTATAACGATAATGATATGGCCAAATGTGGAAAAAAACCACCGCGTGATCCATACTAACGAGAATCAAAAAAAGAAAAAGAACAAAAAAGTAGTTTTTATCGCTTTCAATCATTTTCATGTTGGATCATATACCTTGGATATCATCGGTCAGAAAATATTCGGCTGTTGGTTATTATTGTTTGCGTGTTTGATGACCATTACCGACCGATTGATGATTCTATCTAAAATGCACAGTCTTTTTTTTCGGTTTTGGTTGTTGATGGATTCATCATGTTTTGGTAAGAGATAATTTATTATCGTCACGATTTTCTTTTCTTTTTTGTTCGTTCATTCATTTTTGTGATTAGATTTTTTCTGTTATTTTTTTTGCCATTGATAATGATCATTGTTCACGGAAATATAACGACTATTGATTCGATAATCGATAGTTGATGCATATCGATAGTTTCGTCCATTACGAAAACAAATCAATACACACGTGAGCTTCTTTTTAGCATGTTTGTATTTGGAATTTAATTTGGAAATAAATTGTTTCAAAGAATTCAAAGAAAATGACTTCTTCGGGTCTAGAATTTTCGACCAAAGGTCTGCAAAGTGTTTGTCCTACCGGTATTGATAGTTTTGATGATCTAATCGGTGGTGGATTTGCTCTCACTTCTGTCAACATTATTGGTTTGTTTTTTGATTTTTATTTCATTTCTCTGAATTTTATTTTAATTTTTGCTTATCAACAACAATAGAAGAAGATCAATTTCGTATGTATAGCTCGATGTTGGTTAAAGCATATCTATCATCCGCAATCTATGCCGAGCAAGAAATTCTTATATTTTCACCTATAATCACTAATGATAAATGTCGTTTTATTCGTGAATTACCTTCGTTGACTAAAGATGATCCATTACAAAGTGGTAATGGTATCAGTCCGGCCAAAGATTTTACCAAAATGAAAATTGCCTTTCGATATTCAAATATTCCTTCACGATTCGATCCGAATATTGAACAAAAACGATTTGATTTTGGCCAATATATTGATACTAATCTGTTGAATAAATCATCCATTAAATTCTATGATCATTCAGAATTAATACCAATATTGAAGGAAAAATGTCATGAACAAAAATCCGATAAAGTATGTCGAATATTTATCGATCAATTAGGCTCACCATATAGTTCTATCGAAATAAATCAATTACCACGAATAATGTATCAATTGAAATCAATAATGAGACGTTTGACAAAATCAGTGTCAATTATAACGATAGTAACTGCATCTGATCTACATTATGATCTTATCGATGATCATTCCATTCGACAAAAACTTTATTTTACATCAGATTCGGCTATTCGTTTTACAACTTTTGCCGATGATGATGAATCGAATCCATATCGACAAGATTATGTTGGTCTTGTACAGCTTTTACGCTTACCTCAACTCAATTCTCTAGCACCATACAATCCAAACCTTGTGACCATTGAATATGGAATAAAATTACATCAAACAAAACGATTTTTATCAATCGAACCATTAGCATTACCACCTGATCTAGGTGAAACGGTCAATCGTTTTACAAGTTCTAATCAAGCAGCCGATAAACTTCATTGTACAGCAACTAAACAAACTGATTTTTAAATTTTGTTTAATTTGAATTTCAAAATAATAATAATAATGATAATATGAAAATATTAAAAAAAAGATAATGATTATGTATTGGATGAATCTATGGATTTTTGGCCAGAAGTTGTTGATGATCCATCTGATGTTGACAAACTAGCAGCAACAGTGGTAGTCATAGAAGAAGACGATGAATTTATTGAATCAGATGAGACAAGATTATCCTTGTCGGATAATAATGATTGAAATGTTTTCATTGTAGATGTTTCAACATTTGTGACTTGTGAATCACTTGTATAACTAGAATCAATTTGAGATGTGGAAGAATCATTAATTGATTCTTTGAATTTTGTGTGTCCTTGTTCAGTTGGCTGTGTGGATGGTTGATCGAAAATAGGATCCGTAGGTATAATTAGAGGTGGATTACGACTTTCGGCCGATAACGGTGATGATGATTCGGCTGGAGAACTAGGTGTAGATGTTGAAAGACAGGCTTGTAATTTAGAATCATTATTCGATGATGATGTAAGATGATCTGAGCTTGTTGAACCAATAACCATTGAATTGTTATTGAATTTATCCATTGAAGATGAATTTGGAGATGGCCATTGTGTAATACCAGTGGTAGAAATTCCAGGTGAATTATACCCTGATTGTGGAGGCAACATCGAACCAGAACGATTATTATTATTGTTACCAGTCGATATCGATTGCATTAAAGATGGTTTTGATGATGTTGAAGTTATCGATACGGATGATGATGATGATGATGAATAAGATTGTGGAGAACAAGATAGGTTTGATGTTCCAGTAGGAGATTGTGATAAAAGTAATGGCGGAGGAAGATCCGGTGACTTAAATAATGATTTCTGCGTTTGAGTTGGCTGATTTTTCGGTGACATTCGATTACTTGGCGATGGTGATATCTTACCACTTTGTGATAATGGTGATGAATTGGCTAAAGGAAAAGGAAAATAAATTCATATCAAATCACAATTTTGTAACAACAATAAAATATTTTACCATTTCTACGATTCGATTGTTGTGGAGAAGTTGATCCAACAATATTATTACCACTTGTTGTTGAACCAGTTGAAGAAGTTGGTGATGTGATCGCTGTAAATGTAGAAATAGTATTCGATGATGATGATGATGATGAAACGGAAGAAGAAGAAGGTGTTGATGATGTTGATATAGTCGAACTTGATACATTCGAATTGGATGATTGAGAATTTTTCTGTATTTTTGGTATTGTATATTTATTATTTTTAAATACCGAAACATTTGTCAATTTAGATAAAACAGAATCGGCAGTTGATGATGGTGATGATGATGATGAATTACCCGTATTCAACATTGATTGAGTGGATGATGATGATGATGATAATGATCCACTGTTACCACCACTAACACCACCAGATGATGATGTTTTTGTTTTAGTAATACTCATTTTCAAACCAGAATTTGATTGTTTAATTGTAAATTGTGAATCACGATAAAATGATGATTTTGTTGATTTTTCTGTTGTTGTGGGCCTTTGAGTTGTTTGTTTGGATGATGATGAGGAAGAATCAACTCTGTTTGTATTTGACGATATTTCTGGTGATGTTGATTGTCCAACTTGTAACAATATCGTTGATGATTGATTTGAATTCGAAATTGTCGATGCTGATGATGATGACGATGATGGTGATGATGATGATGAAGAAGATGATGATGAACCATCAACAGCATTCTTCTGTAAAAGTCTATCAACAACCGATGTTAATGATGCTTTTTTTGTTGTTTTTCCAAATAATGATTTTAACACTGAACCAGCTGCTGATGATGATCCACCACCAATCGTTGATGATTGTGAAGCCAATACCGATTGAGATTGTGGTGATGATGATGATGATGATGATAACAACGATGAAGCTGCTGTGGATGATGATGATTGAAGAATTTTTGGCGAAGTTATCGAAGATGTAACCGCTGTAATTCAGAAAAGAAAAATTATAAATTTTCTATCAAGGTAAATAAACAAAAACAATCGAAAAAAAACCAAACCAAAAAGATAAAAATCATGCAATCAAATCAAACCCAAACCATCATATCATCAAAGTAAAGAGAAAACAACAACAACAAAATAAAAAACCCAAAAGCAAAAAATAAAAAGAATAATAATAATCAACTACGGAAATAAACACCGGTAATTCCCCCAACCCAAAAAAAAAGTTCAAACTACTACAACTACTATCAACATAATCCATTTACTTTTTGTTGATGTTTGTTTCGAAGATATCGATGGTGAAATAATGGTCGGTGTTGATGTGGATGATGAAGAAGAAGCCGAAAACATCAGACTGCTTCCACCGGTTTGTTGATTTTGTGATTTATTAATAGAATCTGTTGTTGATGAATATTGTAATTTTCGAATCGAACCACCACTTGTAGCAATCAATGATTGTGAACTTCCACCACCACCACTACCTACTGTTATTGTAATCGGTGATGATGATTTATTCGACGATGTTTGAAACATTAATGAATTTGTTGATGAACCTGTTGTATTGTTATTATTACCGGTCGATGTTGTAAATTTTAAATTTTTCAATGTTTTTACAAAACGTTGTTGTTGTTGTTGAGATTGCTGTTTATATTGTTGTTGTTGTTCATTAGTTGATAATGAATTTTGTACAGCAGCTATTGCATGTGCCATTGCAGCAGTAGTATTTGATCCACCAGAATTTGCAACCGATGCAACAGCCATAGCAGCAGCTTGTTCTAATGTTTGATCATTTGATAATGATGATGATCCACCAACAATATTCGATTGTTGTTTACTTAACATTGATGATGATAAATTTATTGTTGTTTTCGATCCACCGATTGATGGTTGTATCAGCGAATTTGATTGTTTATTATTACTTGTCATTGTCATTGTTGTTGTTGTCGACGACGAAGACGGCGACGTTGATGATGATGATGATAATAATGACAAAACTTTATCAGAAATTTTCATTGATAAATTATTACCTCCTTGATTATTGATGGATCCAATTGTTGATGATTGACGATTCAATGATGATGGTGATATGGATGCCGATGAAACTATATAATTCGATTGTGTTGATAATGGTGGAGATAATTTTTTCTTCTGTGTTGTTGAAAATGATGATGATGATGATGAATTTATAGTGTTGGTCATCATCATATTACCCGATGATTGATATACCCGAGATGATTGTGACTTATTAATTATCGGTGATGATGAATTACTACTACCACCACCACCACTGCTATTACTACTTAATAAACTATCCGATGAAGCTGAACCTGTTGCCGATATGATGAATTCTGTGTGTGTTTGGTAAAAAAAACATTAAAAATCCAAAAAACTTTTTTCAAAAATCAATCGATTATTTTACCTTTATTATGTTCCAAACTATCGGCACGTTTACGTTTTTTATTCTTATTATTATTATTGTTATTATTTTGACCACTAACCCCGGTAGGATTAAGCATCGTATTCATTAGATCCATATCTGATGATATAATCGATTTCGATGATAAATTCGATTTGGTTGAACCGATTTTGATCTGTTGATTATTTTGCTGTGATTGTTGTTGTTGATTTTTTAATATTAATTTCGGTACATTATCCGTTGATGATGATGTTTCTTTTTGTCCAGATATAGCTTCCAATTGCTTGATGATTTTCAATTGTTCTTCATCACCTGTTAATAATAATATTCATTCAAAAAATAAATAAGAAAAATTCGCTTAAACATCACATGTCATCATTACCTGATTTGATTGAATTAAATTTATAATCACTTCTACCGACTTGATGATGATGACTATTCGTATCGATTGACGAAGTAGTCATTGCTGTTGTTGATGAATATTCATTCACAGTATCAATCGGTTCCTGTTTAATTGTTGAATGTGGATTATTATTTTGGCCACCAAGTAAATTATCCAACATTATTGTACGTCGTTTTCCACCAGTCGAATCAATGAAATCCGTTTCACCCGATGAAGGACGTTTACGTTTTTTCTGGTTATTTGAATTTACGTTATTATTATTATTACTAATATTCGGATTTGATAAAGATGTCAATTTAGAAAGACTTGTAGTACTATTAGATGGTGTTGTTGGTGTTGTTGGAGTCGATGATGTCGATGATTGATTAATACCCAATGCTGGTACATCACTTAACATACTCATCAACATTGTATTCTGATGCATAACATTTGGTTTTTTAGTCGTAGTCGTTGACAGTGATTTTGATAATAAATTTCCTGTTTTATTTTGTTGTTGTTGTTGTTGCTGCTGTTGTTGGAACAATAAATATTGAAGATTTTTTGTTGTTGTTGTTGTTGATTCATTACTATCATTATTAACATTACTGCTACAGCTGCTATAAAATTCATTTTTTACATTTGTCATCGATGATGTTCGCTGTTGATTATGATGATAAGAATTATTATCCATATTGGATGAATTACCACCACCATTTGATGATGATTGCATAGCCTGATAAAGAATACTTGATGTTGATGGTGTTGTTGTAGACATTGTTGTTGAATTTGTTGTTGTTGTTGTTGCCATTTGTAATAATTGTGGTGGTTTTTCTTCATTTACTTTCGATAATTCTTGAAATTTTTTCTGTGCAGCTTGACAACGATTTATTATTGAACGCATTGTAACCGGTATTGATAATGATCTGATTTTTTTTAAAAGGATTTAAAAATTGGTTTAAAAAACGAAAATTCTAACTTACTTTTGCATAATTTTACTAATATAATCATCCGAACAAATTGAATTCAATGTAACATTGCTATTATTAGTATTAGTATTAGTATTAGTATTAGTAGTACCACCATTCAATGATGATGTTGACGACGATGATGAATTTGCATATAATTTACATCGAACCTGTGTTATATCTTTTAAATCAATTTCCATTGTAGCTAATGATTGTTCTAATGGATGTTCAAATTGTACATAGATATTTGTTAGACCAAAATATGATACTTCAAATATATGATGATTATTAACACTTGATGATGATTCTGTATAAAAATATATCCCCAAACAAATCAAATCAAATCATTTTCGATTCAAAAATCATTCAAACTTACCATTATTATTTTTTCTAAACAAACTTAATTTACGAATAATCGAACCAAGTATAACATTAAATAAAACTTGTTGTCGAAGATAGACTAATATTCTTGATACATGACTTGGATGTGTAAATGGTAAACGTTCTAAAAGTATACCAAAACTACCACCACCACCATTACTATTTGATGAACAATCCAATGATGATTGTTGATCATAATGACATTCACCAATATTATTTACATAATAACAATGTCGTTGATCAGGTAGAATGGCTAAAAATGATGATGATGATGATGATGATGATGATGATTTGAGCATCGAATTGTTGGCCACTGATGATGATGATGATTGATTCAATTGTAAATTGGTCAACAATGTTATCATTGATTGTGGTTCATTATTATTGCAATTATTATTATCATTATTAATCAATAAATTAATACCGGTTAATTTTTGTATCTTATTCAATAAATCTAAACTTATTGGTAATGTTCGTGTTAATCGTAATACATAACAAGCGGGTAATAATTCACTATTTTGTTCATTATGTTCAAGAAAATGTGCTAAATTTTTTCCATCTGGTCGTTGTTTAACAATTATTAAGGATTTTGATTGTAAACGTTTTAATTCAACGGAATCTTCCAATAATATTTGTGCCGAATAACCAATTTTTCTTTCAATAACAATATCAACTGTTAATGGTAATGATATTTTTTGTTCTAAATCCAATAAATCATATGGTTGAACGAAAAATGTTAATTTCATTGGATGACCACCTTTACGTGATTCTAATACACCGATTGGTGAACGATGTACTAAATTATTAATATCATTTATTTGATTTTTTTGTATTTCAGCCATTTGTTCTAAATCTTTTTCCAATGAATCTAATGCTTGATATGCTTTTTCCGTTACGGGTCGATCAGCTTTTATCTTATAAATAGCAGCTAATCCTTCCAAATGTTTTGTAAATTCAAAAAAATCACGTCTATTCAATACATCGATTAATTCTGTACAAACCATTGGTGGTTTATCATTATGTGATATTTGACAATCATCAACCGATTCTTTTTCCTGATTGAATTTAATTTCAACATAATAAATACTTGAATAAATAAAACATTGTGATGCATGCATTTTAGCTGCAAATTTTAAATTTAATTGTCGACAAATTGTTTCTAAACGTTCTAACATTGTTGCGATTGAACGAACTTCAATATTTTTTTGCATTGTATCTAATGATTTTTGTAGTTGTTGTCGTTCATCCATACTAATTGAACGTTTATCCATTAAAAATTGTTTAACGGAACGTGAAAGATCTGACCAAGATCTTTGTTCATTACGTTTTGAATGTAATTTTTGCATTAAAAATGATGTCGATGATGCTAATGGTGGTGATGGTTGATCGTTAGCAATTGATGACGGCAAATTAGCCAATAATGATTGACCAGATGATGTTTTCATTATCGATGTTGATTGACCAATATTTTTATTAAATAAACTTGTTAAAATTGGCATCTGATTATTATTATTATTGTTGATCTGTTGTTGTTGTTGTTGAAATGGACGTTGTTGATGAAATTGATTCGATGATAATCCCGATTGTTGTTGGCCTTGTTGTTGCTTTGGTTGCGGCATACGAATCGATGTTGTGGCACTCATTTTCAATTCTTTTTCTGATTTTTTTTCTGATTTTTCAAATTTTTTTTTCCATGTTTTTTTTCACATCAACATTTCTTATCGTCATCGAATACAAAAACAAAAAAAACAAAACAAAAAAATATCAACAGCGCCACACATTATTCTGAATTTTATAACTCAATCTGGCATCATTCATATAGGACGTTTTCGAAAATAAAAATGGCTTTTGTTTTTGTTCGAATTCGCCATGTTTGAGTTCTCTTCACTTACGTTCGATTTTAGCTGTGTTGGCTGAATTTTCTTTTTTTGAAATTTTTTTATTTTTTTTGAATTTTTTTTTTGGTAAAAAAATAACCGAAACAAAAATGATGTCCAGATCGGTTCGTGCCGAAACACGTAGCCGTGCTAAAGATGATATTAAACGTGTTATGCATGCAATCGATAAAGTTAGAAAATGGCAAAAAAAATGGGTTACAATTGGTGATACAACAATGAAAATTTATAAATGGGTACCAATCACAAGCTATGATGAAACGGTATGAATCATAACATTTTTTTATTATCGGAGAAAATAGGATTTTTATCTTGTTTTTTTTTCTAAAAACAGAGTTTCAAAATTAAAAGCTCATCATCATCATCATCATTATCAACAAAAACGTCTGCTGGTGTATCTCAACAACAACAACAACAATCAACAACAACAACATCGTCAACAAAATCAATTGATCAGAATAATAAAGAAAATTCTAAACCAATCAGTAATAATAATAATAATAATAATATGGGAGATGATTCACAAAGTTTTCTACAATCGGAATGTTCAAGTCAAGATAATTCAAATTCAATATCACAATTATCATCATCATTAGTATATCAACCAATGGAAACTAATGATACAAGTCAAAGTAATCCAGCAGCATCATCATCCGGTAATATTCGGACTATTGTTAGCCAAACAAATAGTAGTACAATCAGTATGTTGGATGCACATAATGATAATGCACAATTTCCGGATAATTGTCCAACATCATCATCATCATCAAATACTAAAACAATTGATAGCCAACAACAATAGTATATCAATCAAAGTGAAACACAAAAAATTTATTCTTAATCATCAATATTACCCACAAAGAAAAATATATAATCAATAATTGAAACGATTGCAAAAAAAAGTCAATCAATTTCGATTCATGTCATAATCTTAAATAATAATCATTTTCTTCGTCGTCATCATCAAATCAATCAATCAATCTCAGATTAAACTTTCTTTCGATTGAAACATTAATAATCGTTTTGTTGTTTTTGTTGATTGATGTATCGATTGTTTTCGTTCATCATCATCATCATCATTTTGATCATTCGAATTCGAATGTTCAATTTGTTTTCTATATTGATTCGGTACAATTTTATTGGCCATTAAATTTAAATATTCAATACCGGTTTGTAAATTTTCAATATCATTTTTAATTTGATTACGTGGACTTGTAAATAATTGTTGTCGTAATCGTTGACGATCTTCTTGTTTGATCATTATCATTGGTGGTGGTGTTTCAATTGTAAATGGTGAATATAATTTTATCGGTGTTGATGATTGTTCATCATTCATTTCTTCATATTGATTTTCACCATTCAATTTTGATGATGATTTTATCATTAACTGCCAAAAAAAAATAAATAAACGTAAGAAATTTACTTGCTGATTTGCTAGAAAATTTAAATAAAAATTGTCTTACCATTGTCGAAATAGAATTAAAACCATGACGAACTTGTGTCAAACTATTGATGGCCGTATTTTTAATATCTTTTAATAATGATCGTTTTGAATGAACATTGTAGCCATCTTTTTTCTCACGATTATTATCACCCGATAAATTCGGTTTAACGATTCGACCAGATTTTTCAACAGGTTTTGGTTTTGGAATCGATAATCGAATCGACAATGATGTTGATGATGATTTGTTACCTTTATTAGTCGATGATTTTAAATGTGATGTTGATTTTGATTTTTGTTGAAATTTTTTTGTTTCATTTCGTTTTTTAGTTGTTGTCGATATTTTCAATCGATTAATCGATCCATTCGATTGATGATTATAGATTTTTACGGGATTACCAATATTTTCCATGATTGAAAACGGAGAAAAAACAGCTTTTGGAATGTTAATCAACTGAAAACCGAACCGAAAATGAAACAAAAATTTAAACCGTCTTTGGGTGAATTCAAAGGTAAAAAATTTAAAACCGTCATTAACGATTTTAAAGGCGGAGCCTAAAGGTGGGCGGTACTTCTGGTAAAATTGGAATTTAAATTTTTTTTTTTGCATTCGATTTTTGCGAAACCGAACCAGAAATTGATCCGTACATAGAATACGTACAAAAATCATCAAATTTTTCAAGGATAATCGAAAAGAAATGGATAAATTTTCGATCATTTCGAAGTTTCATTCAGTTTGATGTAAATAAGAAAAAAAATATTTTAATTGAATTTCTAGTTTTTTTCGCTTGTTTGTTTGTAATTAGATTCGATTTGACATTTAAACATCGACCAATCGGAACACAATATATTTTATTATTTCATTTAATAAATCAAATGAATGATGAGGATTAGGATTTTTTTTGTTTGTTTGGATGGGATGATGATAATGATGATTAGGATGAAATTGTCACATTTTTTTCCGATTCTTTCATTGATTTGTTTTTTTCTTTTTCTAATCATTTTGTTCACGTGAATCAACCGGTTTCAATTCATCAGGCAATTCAGGTGGTAATGAATATGGTGTTATTTCTAATGTTTCAAACATTCCATCCGGTTCTGGTTTGTTAAATAGAATTATGATTTCGAAATTAATTCAATGTTAGTTTTTGAATGAAAAAGAAAACTTACGACGAAAACAAAGTCCAATTGTAGCTGGTGCCTGTGCTTTGGCTGTCATCACTGTCAGATTATATTCGGCAACTGTTTTATGATCATCCATTGGTTGATCATCTTTAATTAACATTTGATCTTTGGCCAAAATTTTTGTTATACCTTCAATCATTTTTTTCAATTCAATAACAGGTGTTACTTCTTTACAATCCAAAAATATTGTTGTTGTTTGTCGTCGTATCATAAGAAATACTTCCTAAAAACGATAAAAAAAGAATAAAAAATTGACATTTTCGAAACTCGAAATAAATCTTTGCAGAACAAAAAAATGACAAACCATTTTTTTGTTGTTGTTCGTAAACCAAAAAACAAACAAATAAATATTCGGATCCGATTTGGTTTTTTCAAATTAAATTTTCGTTTCAATAAAAACTATCCGGCAAATGCAAATCATCAAAAATTAAAAAAAAACCAAACAGCAAATGTGCATTGCAATTGTTGACACACACAAAAAAAAATGAATATTCCCAATGAATGGTAGCCATTTCAACATTTTCAATCCTGTTAAGGTTAATATAGTTTCGAATATATAATTTTTCAAAAAAAAAAAAAAAATCTTTCACATCATTAAAAATCAAAATATTTTTAAATTAAACGTTTTTTGTACGAGGAAATCAACAAATTTTTATTATTCAAAATTGTGTAATCAAATCAATGAAATTATAATCTAGATAATAATGATTAATGATTATCGATCGACATTGAAAGAAGAAGAAAAAACAAATTGATGCAATACTCAAAAATTAAAAAAAATTATGATAATCTATATATGTTCCGGATGCCTGATATTCATCATTTTTGTATGATAAGATATGTTTGTTGGACAGAGAAAAAAAAGCCATGGCCCAAATTTTTCTTCAACAAAAAAAAAAAATCTATATCAAATCAATCACGATGTTGTAATCATGTAAATAATCTATAGTGACATCTATGAAATGAAATTTACATTTCAATTCTCTCTCCCTATTTTTTTCCAGCTCATTTCAATATAAAGCTTTCTCTCTCTCTCTTTATTGCTTTTACGGTTTGTTTACGTCTCTTTCATTCGTGAAAAATAACAAACAAACAAACAAACATCGTGCGCTTTAATTAAATAATTTTGTTTCGAATATTTGATGGTCATCCGTATCGTTTTAGTTTGGAACTATTGAACAAGTTTTTTTTTGTTGTTGAACCATTTCGTAATTATATAATTATTCAATGAATCGACATCCAGGACAACAACAACAACAACAACAACCACCTGATCAACAACAAAACGAAGATAATAATGATAATAATGATCCAAATCGTTTGATAAATTTAGCACGAAGATTCATACAACGACCATTTTTTGCCATGAGAGTTATCAATGATAATAATAATAATAATGGTAATGATGATGATCATTATGACGAAGATGATGATGATGATGAAGTTATTTGGTTACCCGATGACGATATGAATCCTGATGATGATGATGATGTTGACGATAATTTTGGATTACGTATCAATCTTATTGTTAATGATTTTGATCGAGATGATGATGATGATGAAGATTTTGATGATAATGATGACGATGATAATAATGGTAATGATCAAATGGATCAAGAAGAAACACAAAGAAATGAAAATCAAACCAATTATGATATATCATTACCAGTTGAACATTCATATTTAGGTGGTTTAGATTCAGTCGATACTGCAAGACGTTTATTTACACCCGGTACAATTGTATCATTAAAAACATTATATTTAAATGGAATGTATTTAATACCTGGTCAAGAAATCCCATTGACATTTTCTAATCGTATTACATTACAATTTATAACAACTATTATTGAACATGATGATTCACGTACATTTGGTATACGTATTGGTCGTTTTGAAGATCGTTTCGGTACAACAGCTGAAATTCGTAGCTATTCATTTAAAGATGATCGTTCATCAATTACGATAAAAGTACAAGGTAGACAAAGATTTACAATCATTGATGATCGTAATAATGAACAAGGTGAATATCAACCAAATGTACAGATATTATCTGAATTAGATATGCATGATTTTTTTCGACCAATCATACAATCAGAATATCGATTATCAAAGAAAAGTCGTTCATTATTAACACCATTATTATCAAATTCAATTGATCAATATGATAATCAAATATTAATGTCACGTTTGAAAATGATATTAATGAAAATATTTGAATATCGTTTAAAAAATGAAGAATTTAGTTATCCAGTTGATGCTATTGCATTTAGTTATTTTGTTCTGATGGCCATACCATTTCCAGATAAAATTAAAACATCATTATTGAAAATTGATTGCGTTAATTTAAGGTTACGTTTAGAAACATCATTATTGAATGAAAATTTTAAATTTGTTTGTGGTACATGTCGTCAAAATCTTTGTGATCGTAATTCATTTTTGGTTATGTCAAAACTTGGTACATCCGGTACATTTGTTAATAGTAATGGTATTGTACATGAATTATATACATTTTCAAAAGTGGAAAATACACGTCGTGTTTCATTATATTCGGAAGATTTTTCCTGGTTTCCAAATTATGGTTGGATTATTATCAAGTATGTTTTTCCTTTTGAAATGAATTTTTTCTGTAATTTTTTTCTGTTTTTTACAAAGTTGCCGTCAATGTCGAACACATCTTGGTTGGGAATTTGAAACACATAAACCAAATATTGTACCGAAAAAATTCTGGGCACTAACCAAGTATGTTTCCTCAAATTCTAATCTTTTTTTCTCAATTTCTAACATTGTTTTTGTTTTTATCTGTTTCCATTACCATAGGAATTCAATAAGTTTATTATTTCAATATGATGAAAATTGTGATGAATCTTATGTTTATAAATTACTTGAACAAGATTTAAATGTTGATATTAATCAATGGTAAATTGATTCTGTGTATAAAAAAAATGAACAAATAAAGAGATGGCCAAAACAAAAAATACAAAAATTCTTTTTATTTTTGTCAAAGAAAATTTATTAATTTTTCAAAAAAAAGCGGTTTGACAATTTTTGTTTTCATTTTTCATTTTTTAGTTGGTAAAATAATGCCATCATATTTTTCTTGAAACCATTTCATTGCATCTTCTTTCGTCAAACGATGTGATGCACCAATTCGGCCAGCTTTATGTTTACGTTGATTGATACTGAAACCCGGTCGACCAAGAACAACATAAAAATCCAAACCATAAATACCGATTGATGGATCATATTTGATACCTAAATCAATATGTTCTTGAATACCGAAACCAAAATTTCCAGTAACGGAAAAATTTTCTTTACGTAATTCATATTCTTTTACTTTTAATCCTTTTTCCAAAATTTCTTCGGCTTTTGGTCCACGTACAGTACAATGAACAGAAATTTTTTCATTACGACGAATACCGAATGATCGTACAGTATAACGTGCTTTAGAAAATACTGGACTTTGTCCAGTTAATTGTTCCAAAACTTTTGATGCACGTGTAAGCCTATCGCCCGATTCACCAACACAAATATTCAGACACAATTTTCGTATACGAAGATCACGCATTGGATTTTTACGTTTACTCGTTCGTGGTTTTTGGATCGTTGTTGTTGTTGTTTCCTTTGAAAATTAAATGAAACATTTTAGTAAATATCACACATATTTAGTAATATCAATACAATCGGTAATCGGTGTAATTGATATGTTGCAATATTGTTCATAATTTTGGGCAAATTTCGAAAAATTTTTCAAAATTCAGAGTCAATGAGTTTAAGGTGGAAAAATCAAAAAACTCTGCCATAAAATGCCCATGAAAATGATCATATTTTTGTTTTTGTTGAAACTTACCACAACCATTTTGGATGATTAAAAAAAATTTTCAGAAAAAAAATCAACAAAAATCAAAATTAGAAGAAAAAAAAACCAAACACAGCCAAACAACGTGAACAGGAAAGAGGAACACAAAACACCGAAGCAGTGTGTGTGTGACACAATATTTTTTCTGTTTACACGTTGATTTTTCATTTGAAGACCTCTTCGAGTCGTTATAGAATTTTTTGGCTATTTTTACATGACAGTCAGTTTGTTTTGAAAAAAAAAATTTTATTTTGATTGAAAAATGTTTGCCATTAATCAAAATTATGATTCTATTGATGGTGAATTGGTTCGAAAAGCGAAGAAAAGTTTGTTATCTTGAATGAATTTTTACATTTGTTTTGATTAATTTTTCTTTCTTTTTTTTTAGCTTGTGATAAAATAACCGAAACAATTTATGTAAATGCAAATGAACCAACATTAGCATGTTATCGTATTCAAGAACATATACATCGTTCAGTTCCAATTATTCGACAGAAAAAATTGGAAATGATTAAAAATGAATCAACATTAAAAGGATTATTATATGATATAGAATATACAAAAGAATCTATTGAATCACTTGAACGATCAAAAGATTCATTTGATAATATTCAACGTCTTTTAAAAGATTCTATTTATTTTAAACAACAAGCTGATTATGATGAAAATGTACGTAGAAATATTCAGGAAAAATTACGAAATACTTCATTGTCATCGTCGGAATCATCATCGTCGAATATGAAATCCAAAGATGATTTGAAATCCGAAAAATCAAGTTTGTCCGAGGCAAATGAATCATCACAGCAACAACAATCATCAACACGTAGAATACGAATAACAAATTCAAATCGTTTTAATCGATTTTCAACATCATTCGATTTTTCACATTCATTACCAATGGTTGCATCATCTGTTAGTGCTGATCTTCGATCATTAATCAATCATTTTACCAATAATAATAATAAAGATTCAACAACAACTAATAATCAACAACAACAATCTGCGGTCGTTCCAGAAAGTAGTAGCAGTGGCAGCCAAAAATCTGTTACAACATCCAAATCATTATATACATTGGCGGAAAATGTCCAATCAACGGTAGATGATGGTGAAGATTCTTCTACCAAACCAGAATCCTCTATAGAAAAAAAATCTGTGATCAATGAATGAATGAATCTTTGGCCAAAATTTAGTGTAATATTTATTTTCTTTAAATATTTTGTTTTTCGTATCAAAATTATAAAAGGTGCGCGTGCTTTTACGGGAGGGAAAAAAATCATTTTCAAATGTACAAAATTAAAAAAAAATCCATAGTGTCTGTATGTGTTTTACAATTCAGTTTTTTTCGAATCACTACTATCCAGATCAACATCACTTAGATCAATATCATCAATCACAGGCATTTGTCCATCTTTACCATCCCATTGTTCAGTTTCAATAACCATTGGTAATTGATTTGAACGTAATGGTAAACTAGAACCACGACCATATAAAAGATCACGTAAAAATTCACCAATACCTTCATAGGAAAATGATCCACGTAATAATGAATATTTCATTTTACGACCATTAATAATGGCCATTGCTGGATAACCAAAACCACCAATATCTAATGCTGATTCTAGATCAGGTTGTGCACCTGCTTCCATCCATAAATATTGCCATTGATTTTTTTTAAAACGTTCAGCTGTTCGACGAAGAATATCCAGATATTCATTTCGACATTTTGATTGACAATCAAGTATATGTGGTAATACAGATAGTATACAAAGTTGTGAATTTTCACATGATTCTTTTAATTGTTCAGTTCCTTTGGTTAGTTGAACGATTTCCGGTGGTTGTAATGTTTCTTCTAATTTTTCCAATGCAAATGTAACGAAATCTGATTTAGTACGACCACCATTATATTCTTCAGCACTACCATCTTTTTTACCGGCTGCAAATATTTTGATTGTTGGAAAACCACGAATTTCAAAACGACTTGCCAATGATTGATGTACAGTAGCATCAACAGCACCGACACGAACTTTACCTTTTAATTCGGTAGCAACTTCCGACCAAATTGGTGCTAAATTTTTACAATGACCACACCATGGTGCATAAAATTCAACAAGCCATAGATCATCAGATTTGAGTACTTTTTCATCAAAATTTGATTCAGTTAATTCGATGACATCGTTAGATTTACCACCACCGCCACTACTTGATGATTTCTTGCCAATTCGACTGTCGACAATATTTCTTAATTCACGAAAACCAGCATCAATAAATCCTTGTGCACTTCGTTGTCCTTGATATTCGATCGGTTTGTTTTTGTTTGAGGCAAAAATTTTTATGGTTGGAAAACCACGAACACCATATTGTGCACCAAGTGATTGATGTTCATCAGCATTAACTGCACCAACTTTTACAATACCTTTTAATGCTTTAGCAGCTTTTTGATATTCGGGTACTAAATTTTTACAATGACCACACCATGGTGCAAAAAATTCAACAATCCAAATATCATCTGAATCGATTACACGTGATTGAAAATTTGTTGGTGTTAATTCAATAACATCAGATGAACGATCATAAAGGGCATTGGCAATGTTTAACACTGTTGCCAACAATATCCATCGAAAGCCTGATAATAAAAAAATAACCATCAGAATGAGATTTGTAATCAACAAACCAACCTTTGGCCATTTTTTTTTTTTTTTTTTTTAATAAAAAAATTCGTCGTTAAAGTTGTAAACAAAAAAAAAAGAATGAATGACTAAATGAATTATGATTGAAGTTTTAAAAATGATTTAAAAAAATTAAAATTGTTGTTNGAAAGCCTGATAATAAAAAAAAAACCATCAGAATGAGATTTTTAATCAACAAACCAACCTTTGGCCATTTTTTTTTTTTTTTTTTTGTAATAATAAAATTCGTCGTTAAAGTTGTAAACAAAAGAAAAAGAATGAATGACTAAATGAATTATGATTGAAGTTTTAAAAATGATTTAAAAAAATTAAAATTGTTGTTTATTATCGTTGATTTAATTATGACATCGAAAATTGTTGACCAAAAAATTAAAAAAAAAGTCAACGAACAATAACAGAATGACGTGTATTTAGTGTGTGTGTAGGTGTATTTAGTTGTTGATCGTGTTGAAATATGATTGGCGAAAAGAATAATCATCAAAATTGTAATATCATTTTAGTGAAAAACAATTTTTAATCACGTGATTTTTTTTATTCTGAATATTGTGCGCAGATATAAATCAAGGCGGTGCTTAATTTTAACTGAAAATTATAAAAAAAAAAAATTATGACACGCCTATCATTGCTCTAAAGTAAACTAGCCGGCTATTTGTACACATATTTTTTTGAATTAATATTGATTTTTTTACGTTGGCGCGAAATTTATCTATTTATTCCGGATTTTTTTTTTCATTTAATAAAACAAACGAACAAAAAAGATTACACTGTTTATTTTTTTCATTTAGATTTTGATAAACAATATACAAATACAAATAAAACAAAACAAAACAAATGGTTCAAGGTGAATGAGATTTACTTTCTTTCTTTCGTTTTTTTATTTTCAAAGTCAAAATTGAAATGATATAAAAGAAAACATTTGTGTAAACATTGTGATTGAAAATCTATTCAATGAAAGAAAAAAGTGTTGACAAAAATAAGTGGCCAAACATAACAAAAAAAAAGGATCAATGAAGATCAAAAGAAAAAAAAATTACAAAATGATGATCTAATGGTTTTTGAGTGAGTGAGTTAGATTTGATCATCTCCTATTTACGAGGTTAACGATGCAAACAAGGCAAACATTTCCATCAATGGTGATTGTTGTTGTTGTTGTTGTTGTTTTTGCAGTTGTTGTTGTTGTTGTTGATGGTAATTTTCATTATTATTATCGAAAATAATAGATTTCCATGAATCACCATCAAAATCAACAATATCAATATCATTATCATTATTATCATTATTGATTTTGGTTGTATCCATAATAGTTGTGGCAGTTATAAATCGACTTGATTGTTTTTTTGTTTTTAATTTTTTAACTCGTTTAAATATTGGATAATAATTTGATTGAATGGATGACATTGATGATTGATCTTGATCCAATGGATTTTGTTGTTGTCGTCGTCTTCGTTGTTGTTGTTGTTGACCACCACGATAATGTAAAACAGTTGGACATGAATCAACAGATAATAATTGTTTTAATTGTGGATTTTGTTCACAATCAATAGCACCAAATTCAATCCAACCTTTCAATGTAATTGATGCATTTATAAATTTATTAGCCATTTTTGTTTGCCAAAATCCTGCTGTTTGTCGAATATTATCATTATTATTAAATAATTGTTCCGATTGTTGTTGATCGATAGTATCGATTATTGTTGCTGATAATGATGAATAGAATATAATTGCCCATGACATTGTTGATTCCATAACAATCATTCGAAAATTATTTTCATTCAATTCGATTATTGTTTTCGGTATTATATCCGATGATGATGATGATGATAAACATTGTGATGTTGAACATTGTGATGGTGATAATGATGATAATGATGATAATCGATTATCATTACGATTAATCAAATCATAATCAATAATTGTTGGTGCTGTATTTGAATAATTTGGTTGTGACATTATAATCCATATGATTAACAATAGATATGATGAATTCATTGATGTTCGAAGCATTTTTGCGGTTGCGGTATTTTTTTTGTGAACGTTTTTCTTTCGAAAAAAACTGGATGAATTTGATAATTTTTGGTCTTTTTTTTTTTGGTTTTCTCGGCACAAGAAATCGAAATCGTGGAGCAAAAAAAATCACACACACACACACACGAAAAACAAAACTAGAACTGATTGACAGAAATCATCATTCCGGACAGGTTCTTTTATACCGATTTTAGTCAAACGAATAATCCAGAATTGACTTTTTCTTTTGTTCATTTTTCAATTGAAAAAAAAGGTCGTGGGCATTTCATTATTGTTTTCTTCCTTCTTTTTTGGTTTGGCTTGATGATTGAATAAATTGATAAAACATTTTTCCCCATTCCCAATGCTATATAGAAATTTGGCTTCTTGATTGTTTTGTGCAAATAAATTCTGCAAAACAATGAAAAAAAGAAAATTAAATTAACTTTTCTTAATAATTTCTTAATGAATTCAATTTAGGTCAAGAACATAACCCAAGATGATTTGGAATATGGAACATCAATCAATCAATCAATGATGATGAAAAGGTTAAAATAGGTGGGTCATGTTGTTTGTTTGTTTTTGTTCCGGTGTGTGACATAGAAAGATAATTTTTGCTCCATTTTTTTTCTTTGAAACAAAAAAAAATTGCGTATTTTTTCTGGGAAACCAAACCAGAATTTGACCTTTGATTCATTCTTTCAACATTGCGTCATCCAAAAAAAGAGTATTTCTCCTTTCGTTTTTTCAATTTCCATTTTCGGTGTTTAATCGAACTACCACTATAGATATAAATTTGGATAAGATAATAGCAAACAAACAACAGCAAACTCTACTATCATTTGGTTAAATGATTAGATAAAGTCAATCAATTTCTAAACTTGAAACAAAAAAAAACGAAAAAACAAAAAAATTTTTATCAATGATAATTGCAGTGGATATTTGAAAATTTACATACAAACCATATGATGATACTTCCGTGCAGAAATAGCAATCAGAAAACAAAAAAAAAACAATGGTTTTTTTCTGCTAATCGACCGGAATTAATCGAAACTAAACTATGAAAAAACGACCATACCATATGTGTGTGTGTATTTTATCAGAAAATTTGACAATTTTTGAAAAAAATGTCGTCATTGAAAAATTCAATTCAATTCAATTCAATCGATCGATGAGGATGATATTTTGCTGGACAATCATCAATTGTTACACACACCAACTATTTTTCACAAATGTTACAATTTCCGTTCATTTTTCTTTCGAAACTTTTTCAGTTTTTTTTGTCAATATCCATCCGTTGTTCGAATATAGTGATGATAATTGTTGTCATCATCGTCGTCGTTCAATGTATTTGATTGATTGATTGATAATAATTTTTTTTTTTGGGATTTCGTCATCATTGACAGGATGGTTTTGATGATCAGAAAAAAAAATTTTTTCATTTTCAATTTCGTTCGATCGGTACAAATCAATCATAGCGTTGTTTTGTTTTGTTTGGTGATTTTAGTTTCAAGTTGAAATTGATTTTGAAAGTTGATTTTACTTTTTGGATAAAATCTAAAAATCCTTTTCGATCAATAATGGGTCAAACAAGATCAAAATTATCATCACCAACAATAAAAACATCAACATTATCAACAAATTCATGGCGTCGTTTATCCGATTCGGATTGTTTACATTTACTTAGTCATCCAGAATATTTTGATAATCAAATTAATAGTATTGAAGAACAATATCAACAACAACAACAACAACAAAAACATCAAAAACACGAACAACAACAACAACAATCGAATAATGGACGACAAATATTACAACGTAGTGGATCAACATCGATATTTTTCGATACAATCGATGATTATCAATCGATACAACCGTTTCAATCATCATTATTGCCGGTAAAAACAACAATGACAAAAACGCAACAACAACAAAATTTTACGAAAAATAATTCAAAAAAATCCGATATTATTCATGGTGGTCAATCATTATCATCATCGTATCGTAATTCAATGTATCCTGGTTCATCATTTGATAATCAACATTTTTGTTCGGAACATGATAATAATAATCGTTCGATGAATGGTCAAAATGGTGATGGAAAACCATCACAATTACCGCCAGCATCGGGTATGAATACCGGTCAATTAACAGCACGTATACGTCCATTATCAATGTTTGGTGGTCAAACAACAACAACAACATTAGAATCGTTGAATGATAATAAATCAACAACATCATTTTTATTAACTGGATCATCATCAACATCATTGTTACCAGAATTAACTGAATCAACAACAAAACAATTAGAAAATTTAAATCTAAGTCTTGATGATATTTTAGAACAAGTTAATCAAACAGAATCAACACAATCATTTCATCATCATCATCATCATTGTTGGTCAATAATAAATGATGGTGATAATGATGGTGATACTGATAGTGGTCAAACATTGATTGCAAAACATTTTGATGATAGTGATAATATGGTTGTTGATGGTGGTCATCATCTTAATCATCATCATCAAACAACATCATTAATCGATTTAAATCAATCAAATATATCGAATGATGATAATCCAGACATCAAATTACCATCCGCCGCTAATATATCACCACCTCCTTTGCCACCACCTTTACCACCGCAATCAATTAATCGACAAATATCGAATGGTGGTGTTGGTATCGATAATGGTCGTCGTATAATATCAACAACAACAAATCCAATACGATGTAGCGGTCTAGATTGTATGTGTGAACGTTGTTTACAGAATCGTTTTAAATTATTAAATTGGTTATTACCAAATTGTACTCGAATGAATTCTGAACGTCTTTTAAGTGGAAAATCTGATGGTACATTTTTAGTCAGGTTGGTTTCTTTCTTTTTAAATTTTTTTACAAATCGAATTATCGAATCAATCAATCGATTAATCGATTCGATTACAATCGATTGTTTTTCTCATCTATTAATCTTCGATATCTTTATTGATTCATTTCATTCATTTTCAATTCATAAAATAGAAAAAGTGAGAAATTTCCCGGCCAATATACATTATCATTTGTTTGTCGTCGTAAAGTAAGACATTGTCTTATCATGAGATCTGTTTACGGTATTTATTTATTTCAATCCGAAAATCTTATCTTGAATCAAACAAAATGTTTTTCTTTGTTCGTTCTCCCCCCCCTATCCACCATCCACCATCCATCCATCCATCCACCATTAGGATTTGGTTTACGTTGGCCATATTCATTTGAAACATTACAACAAGTAATCATACATTATTCACAACATTCTTTGACTGAATTTAATTCCAAACTAAATATTCGTCTTCGTTATCCGGTTTTTTCTGCTTAAAAAAAAATCAAAAAAATCAAAAAAAAATCAAGATAAAAACAACAAACAAGCAAACAAACAGAATCTACAATCGATAAATCTCACTAGTCCTACGCTTCTTCTTCTACTTATTCTTGTTCTTTTGTCCATTTCGGGCGTGTGTACAATGCGAATAAATTCTGTAATTCTATTTTGTTTTGTTTCAAATGTTTTATTTTTGATAAAGAATTTTTTTTTTTTTTTTTTTTTTTTTTTCAACTTCAACGTGAATTTCGTGAATTTTTTTTAGAAAAAAAAAAAAAAAAAAAAAAAATCACTT